AGAGAAGAAATTATAAAAAGGATTAGAATACTAACACAGAGAAGAAAAAGACTCACAAATACTATAAGAAAATATGAGGGGTGCCTGGGTGGCTCAGTGGGTTAAAGCCTCTGCCTTCAGCTCAGGTCATGATCCCAGGGTCCTGGGATCAAACCCCGCATTGGGCTCTCTGCTCAGCGGGGAGCTTGCTTCCCTCTCTGCCTTCCTCTCTGCCTACTTGTGATCTCTCTCTCTCTGTCAAATAAATAAATAAAAATCTTAAAGAAAAAAAAAGAAAATATGAGTGAGTTTATTTATAATATGGGAGTAGACAAAATTTTTCTAAATATGATTAAGAATTTTAGAACACTAAGAAAACGGATAAATTTGCTATATGAAATAAAAATCCAACATTTGCATGGCAAACAGCATAAGCAAATAAAAAGACAAAGTGGGAAAATCATTTGGGACCTATCTCACAGACAAATAGTTAATACTTCCAATATTAAAGTGATTTTAAATGCTTTCTTAAGAATTCAGAAGAATAAATAAAAAATCTTGTGGTAAAATGAATAGACAGTGCTCACAAAAATAACTGTAAATGGCCCTATACACATAAAATGGTGTTCAATCTCACTTATAATAAGGAGAATTCAGTTTAAAGTTACATTGAAATACCATTTCTCATCCATTAGATTCACAAAAATTCGTAAATCTGAATACATAGCCTGATGTCAAGGCTCTTGGGAACCACTGTTCTTACACAATGCAAAACATACTCCCCTACCCCCAAAGAGGGGAATTTGCAAGTACGTTAAAAGAAGAAAAAAAACAAAAAACAAAAACAACTACACATGCCTGAATTTTCAATTTGCTAATTTCAGTCCTAGAAACCATATTGGAGATATATCTCCCCAAATACTAAGAAAAACTTGATTCCTTATGAGACCAAAATGTTCATCAAAATGTGGAAATTACTATGGTACATTCCCACAATACAATGCAGCTGTAAAGGGAAATGAGGAAGGTGTGTATAGCTTTAAGGGAAGTGACATTCCAGATAGATATTTAAGAAAAAAGCAAAAAGAAAGTGTAAATCAATGTGTAGAATATGTGGAATGTGTCTTTTTTGTGAGAAAGGGTGTACAAAAGTATATTGATGTATAATTTCAAAAAGATACTTGAAAGAATACATGGAAAACTTCAATTATCATCTATAGGGAACATAACAGTAGCAGCAGAGAAGAAAATTAAATTTGTCTGCTTTTTTTCCTTTTTTAAAATTGTTTGTACTTGGGAAGAATTTGTGGAGTAAAAGAAATTTCTACCAACCAAATGCAGTGAACAGACCTCACTATAAGCACTGTGACTCACAAAATTATTTTTGACACAGAGAAATTTGAATACAGAATAATTACTAGATGGTATTAAGGAATTATGTTTTAGATGTGACAATTATCATAATATTGTTATATTTTTAGAAATATACCTTACCTACTAGAGTTATAAACTGAAGTTATATTAGAGTTATAAACTGAAATTTTTATAGATAAAATAATATTATATTTTGAATTTTACATACTATAGGAGAAGGTAAAATGTATAAGGAAAGAACTGATGTATTAAAAGATTTTAAATTGCACATACATTTGACTATCAATTACAATTTCAGGAATTTATCATAAATGTAGAGCTATGAATGTATATAAAGATTTACTAGGGAAACATTTATCTTGATAATTTTTAGGAGCAAAAAAACCTGGAAATACTTTGTGCCTAGATAATTTAATTATTAAATAAATCAAATATGTTGAAATTATGTTGAAAAAGAATTTTTACAAATTGAATGGAAAAGCCATATTATTACTAATTGAAGAAAATAGTTTATAAAACAATATAATCTAGATTTTACTAACAAAAAATTATTCAAGAAAAAATAGAAAATATTTTATAAATGCTTGTAGTATAATCTTTGAGAGATCAGAATTCAGATTACTTATTTAAAATCAACATTGAGTGCTCGCTTCAGCAGCACATATACTAAAATAAATATTGGTGGCTTATCCTTATCTCTTAAAGTACAATAAATATATTACCTTGGAAAAGCAATAATTGTTAAAGCAAAGGGCAACTCTGCATAAGGAAATCAATTTTAGAAAATTTATAGAAGACACACAGGAAAAAGGAATGGAAAAATTGAGATATTTGTGAGGGAAAAAAACATTTTAAATGAATGAAGAACCAGTACTTCCTGTAAGTTGAAATAATTTTTTTAACACGAGTGATGTAAGATTCTTTACTCTGCAAACATCATTTCTCACCGTGAGATTTCTGACACTTTCATCTTAGACCCTTAGGAGAAGAAATTCATTTTGAATGAATTGAAGAAATTCATTTTGTTTGATCCACAGAACCAAGTACAGTGCTGTGAAGTTTAGGTGAAGGGTAGAATATTGTTGAAAGATTTGTCAGCTTAATTTCCCTTAGTCATACACTAGATTCCCTCCTGGTACAGTGAATACCACAATGGCTCCAGGAAGGGGTACAGGCTAAATGCCACCTGGGAAGGAAGGAGCTATGATAGCTGAGGGGAGAAAGGCTTGCCGGACAGGAAGAAACAGTGTGAGAGAAAGGGAATCAGAGAGGAAGACTAACTTATTTTGACCTTCGCTCTCTGGAGTTAAGCCCCATAGCTGTAAAGCACATTTAATTGTTGAGGAAAAGCTGGAAGAAGAGCTTTGCCCTGCTCCCCATGAAGAACTTGGAAGGAGCAGTGTTTGTAAGGCAATCAAAGTTGTGCCATCACATGGTTAGGCCAGGAACACCTGATTCATCTCTTTACTTCCTATTACTCCACCCCTCCTCCCCCACCCCAGGCCATCTTAGGCCACAATTCCCTCCGTAAAGATCCCAACATTCCCATCAGCCACTAAGAGGTGCCTAAGGTTTCTGGAGGAAAAGGTTACCAGAGGAAGTCACCTTAGTGATGGTGTGCTACACTGTGGGTGCCAAAGCACATTCTCTCTGGCACTTCTCAGGCGTGCTTTTCAAAGAAAAAGAGCCAATCTACAGGAAGGAGCCCAAGTACCCATGGTGTCCAAAGCCTGGGCAAGAGAGCCAGGAGAGGTTTTCACCAGTTCCCATAACCTTGGATTTTGTCAGGACCCTGGAAGAAATGTGACTGACTGTACCTTGGAAAACACCCGTGTTAAGAGTATTAAACAGGGGTGCCTGGGTGGCTCAGTGGGTTAGGCCTCTGCCTTCAGCTCAGGTCATGATCTCAGGGCCCTGGGATTGAGCCCCGCATTGGGCTCTCTGCTCAGCAGGGAGCCTGCTTCCCCCTTCTCTCTGCCTACCTCTCTGCCTAGTTGTGATCTCTCTTTCTCTGTGTCAAATAAATAAATAAAATCTTTAAAAAAAAAAGAGTATTAAACAATTTACTGGGTCATGCTTATTATTATAAAAAATGGTTAATAACAGAATATTCTCCCCAAATGTATCTGCTTCTAGGATACGGTATTAAAAATAGCTTATTGGAAGATATGAATATACTTTATTACAAAGTATAGCTCCTTTGATCAATATTTTTAGGAAAAATATGGGTTATAATGAATTACATATAAATATTCAGATAATAAGGAAAGTCTTTAAATTGAAAATCTTGAGCCCTTGAGATGGGGAAATCACTTGGAGCTACCCACAAATTATCTGCTACCTCCTTTGAAAGACTAATATTATATGATAAAATATTATCTGGGTTGAATACATAAAGTTGCAATGTCTTTATCATCCATGTGAAGCTGGTTCATATTTGAGAGATGCTTTTTGAACATTTCAGCCTTTTGACCCTTTGTTCATGAAAAGATGAACATTTTTTAGAATAACATTAAATATATCTGGCTAGTCTTGAACAACATGGGGCAGGGGAGCTGACCAAGGAGCCCATTCATTCTCTTAAAATAATCTCAGATACTTACTAAGACCTAGAAAAAGTCCATTTTCAGAGACAACATACTATAATTCACGAGAACAGTTATTAACAAAATTCTACCATGTTTTTTAAAAGGCTCTTTTAAAGGGATAAGTCATGGGTAAAAGAGTAATTTCCCACCCAGGGGGTGGGTTGTGGATCAGAAAGATTAAGATTGGAGTTCCTTAAGCTGGTAGTACACTGGGTCTGTGTGAGGTTATATTCATTTGTTTTCACAGTCATTCAGTGCATTTACTTAACAGATTTACCCAATGCCTTCTAATGCGTCAGGTACCTGATGAGTGCTGGGCAACACAGGCTTTACTGGAATTTTTAATCTAGTGGGGTAATGGGGGTGCGGGTTACCATAATATAGCAGCAAACCATGAAAGAAAGGCTGTAAATAGTTTGGGGCAGGATGGGTATGAAATCATCCCTGAGAAAATGGGACTTGAAGGAGGAACAGTAATAAATCATACAAAGAGAAGGTGTGTTGACGTGCTAGTGTGAGGGTAACTGCCTGAACCAAAGACCTGTAAACCTGTTGTTTGGGAAAATCCGAGCACAGAAGGTCATCCCAATCTGGGAGCACAGAAAGTTGTGCAAGATGTGCGGGCAGGAATCTTGTGGGATGGTTTCAGTCGTTCAGTATTTACTCTAAGACATGGTCTACGAATAGGTGAACTGGTTATACGATCCGCAGATGGGTTTTTTCTGCGCTTTTTGACCAGCTTTTTTGGGGGGAGGGGGGGCAGCGCGGGACATACATTCTCAAATCAGAGGTCGCCTGTGCTCATTGGCCTAACACACTTACGCTCGTGAGATCCCTGAAGAAATGCAGTTTGCTAGCTTCTCTCATGAATCGTTAGACTCTGTACTTAAAATAGCACTAAGGAGGAGCCGCCACAGACACTACGGAGCCTGCGCTTTGCAAACCCAGCGAGCTGTCTGGGATCAGGCAGTCTACACTGGAGAGGGCGGGGAAAGAGGAGGAGCTCAGCGCTGGCACCCACTGCGCATGCCCAGCCTCGTTGCCAAGGCAGCCGGGAAGCCGTAGCCCGGAAGCGGATCCTTGCAGAGCTGCCTGCTGTAAGACCGACCCCTGTGGACTCCCTTGTGACCAGTTCCTGAGCCCGTCTTAATCAGGGCAGAGCAGATGAGGAGCCCAGAATGATGCAAAGTGATAGCCATTCGCCTAGAAGCCTGGGAATTGAGGAGAGCAAGGGGAACTGGCCCAAACGGACATCAGGGCTATGGGAGACCTTTCTGTTGGGACCTTTACTGATGAGGTCCAGAGTTCCAGTTCTTTCAGCTCTTCCGGAGGACTGCAGCCCTGGTCCCATGCCTCTGGGAGCACATCTGGGAGTGGAAAGACCACTACACGCTTGGAGTATCGAGAAGGACAATCTGAGCTTTCAGACTGCCAAAATAATGAAAAGAAATTCAGTAGAAAATGGATCAACCATCTCAAGGGCAAAGAAACGAACTCTGGACAGCACCAGTCAGACACTAAACTTCAAACAGAAACCACTTGGGTATCTGATGAAGAACTGAATGCCCTGCAGTCTTTTTGTGACATTAAAATCAACCTGATCCATCACAGAGCAAACTCCAAGGAGAAAAAGGGCAGCAGACGTAAAAGGCTACAGCTTAGATTGGATGCAGAGGTTTCAGAGAAAGATGCCTTAAACTGTGCCGTTCCTGATGAACTTTTGAACAGAATCTACCTAAAAAACATGAGGACAACACCAAAACAGGTGGCGACAGCTAAGCAACACATTTCTTCTTGGTGTCCCCACTGCAACAGAAAAAGAGCAGAACTGGCCCAATCTGCCTTTCTGCGACAGAAGAAGACTTTGCTAGAGTCCCTTCTACTCCAAGAGAAGATAGACAAACATCTTTATACCAAAGACTTTCTTACCCGTATTGGAGATGCACATCAGGAAGGTTTTCCTAGGCTTTCAGATGACCCCAGAATAATCTGGAAAAGACTGAATGAGAAAAGTCAGATCAGATACTATAGTTTTGAAAGGTCAGATAGAGAGCAGATGCGGCAGAATGAAAAAAGCGCTTGTCACTCACCCTTTCTCTGCTGCTTGACCAAGCCACCTACTCTATCCAAACAGGAGATGGTGTTTACCAATGATAATGTGTAATGTGGATAAATGTTTCTGTTGTGAATTTGAATAATCATCATTTTTACAGGTACTTGGGAAAATAAGACTTGACTATGCTTCCTTCACAGCTATGTGGGCTCAAAACTCTCCATCCAGTATGTTTATTATTATTATTGTTATTGTTATTGTTATAGATGGCAACACTGTAGTTGGTATACTACAAAATGTTTGAAACAATCCAGGAGAGACATGTTGGTGGTTTAGACTAGGGTTTGACAATACAGATAGAAGTACAGAGATGTAAGAGATACTTAGGAGGTAATAATTAACAATCTTTGGTGAAGAAATGGATATGGGATTTAATAAAAGGTAAATATTAAGAATGTTACTAAATTTCTAACTTGTGCACTTGGATGAAAAATATCATTAAAGGAACATTAGAAAAGGATCTTGTTTGATGGTAGTGATTAAGAGTGTGATTATCTGAGCATGGTTAGTTTAAGGTATATTTAAGACATTTACATTGAGAGGTTGGGAAATGGCTGGTTATATGTGCTTGCAGTCGAGAGAAAAGGTCACGCCTAGAGATTTGAAATAAAGCATGGGGTGAAATCACTGATCTATAGTTGGAAATTGAAATCAAAGATACGGTAAACTTTTCTAGAAGGAGTGGAGTGAAAGAGGGGAGGTTATGAGCAGCTCCTGAGAAATCCAGCAACTAATGGCTGGATGGAAGAGAATAAGCCAACAAAGGAGGTTGAGAAAAATGACCACAGAAGGATAAAGGAAGCCATAGTGTTAACAGAGATCAAAGAAAGAACATTCCAGAAAGGACGGGCTAAGTATGCTAATGTAGCAGAGAGTTCCTGTGAGACAATTTCCTTAGCCTTACCTGTTGGGCTCTGTTGACCTTAGCAACAGACACTTCACTTATGGAAATCAGGCAAAGTGGATCGAGGAATAAATGTAAGGTAAGGAGATAAGGCCTATGAATGCGCACTAGTCCAAGAAGTTCAGCTGTGTGGGGAGAAAGGGGGTAGCTGGAGGTAGATACAGAAGTGAGGGAAGTTGGGACGCCTGGGTGGCTCAGTTGGTTAAGCGGCTGCCTTCGGCTCAGGTCATGATCCCAGTGTCCTGGGATCGAGTTCCACATCGGGCTCCTTGCTCGGCAGGGAACCTGCTTCTCCCTCTGCCTCTGCCTGCCTCTCTGTCTGCCCGTGCTCGCTCGCTCTCTCTCCCTCTGTCCCTGACAAATAAATAAATAAAATCTTAAAAAAAAAAAAAAAAGAAGTGGGGGAAGAATGCTTGCTGTGAGTGCTCTAAAAAGTCATTTTCTTCATAAAGATCTTATGGAACTCTTCTTGTTCATCTGATGAAATAATATTACCCCCTAGAGAACACCATGGTATTTTGAAAATACATTTATTGGGAAAAAGTGTTAGATGGCATTTTGAGATTCCATTTGAGAAGTCATATTTGTTATTTTTCTATAAAAATATAAATCCTAGAATTAGTGACAGTACCTGGAGGTCATTTTTCTGCATGTTTAACACCTAAGCTATCACAGTCAAAAATAAATTTGTAAAAAACAGCACAAAATAGTTATTGTGTCATATTCCAATAATACTCTTTGGGTTTAGACTTTCATTTATGTACAAAGATACTGTTTTGTCCTGTAGAACTTAGCATATTTCCTCTTAGTCATTCCTAAATAAAATGGAAAACATTACCATTTTCATAATAACTTTTTATTTGAAATCCACATTATGTCATGCTTTATCTTTGCCATCTCAATGTATTCCCATTTCATGTAATCAAAATTCTGAATAATTTCCCATTTAGAATTCCCCATTAAAGGTCATAATCCACCCCCTCTGTAAACTAAGCTAGAAATCTAAGAGTCATTACTTGTTCCTGCTCTTTTTTATTAACAACCCCCAAGCTAACTTTTTCAGCAAGACCACTGGATCATTCTTCTGACCATGACTTATTTCCATCTTGTTACCACTTTCCTCATCATCTCAGCACTCTCACTCCTGGCTTCTCTCCTCTTCACTCCATTACCTACACAGTTGTCATAACTATATTTCTAACACACAGACCTGTTCAAGTTATTCCCTTGATTAAAAAAAATAATGATTCATCAGTGCAATAGAAATTGCTTGAATTGGGGCACCTGGGTGGCTCAGTGGGTTAAGCCTCTGCCTTCGGCTCAGGTCATGGTCTCAGGGTCCTGGGATCGAGCCCCATGTCGGGCTCTCTGCTTGGTGGGGACCCTGCTTCCCCCTCTCTCTCTGCCTGCCTCTCTACTTGTGATCTCTGTCAAATAAATAAACAAAATCTTAAAAAAAATAGCTTGAATTAATTAATGCCACGTAGATGTTCCTTCATATTTGGCCCACGTTTACTTGTCTAATCTCACCCTCCATGCCTATCCCGATCCCCCCATGTTTAAGCCCCTCCATAAAACTTGCACTTTCCTGAGCTCTCCTGTTCTTCCTGCCAATATTTTACAAGTATGCATTTGTATTGCTCAGATTCTCTTGTCTTTTATAGTTGGTCTACTCCTTATTATATTTCATTATAGTAAGTAGGTAGTACGGTTGCATGATTCAAACTGTCAGAAGGATGTCAAAAGTCTGAGTGTGCAGTTTCCCGGCTACCCTGTTATCCTCTCACTTCTTCTATGTGGGCCTGCAAGAGCCCTGTCTGCCAGATTAACTCTTTACTTTCTGGATCATGGTATAATCAGGTATCCCAGGATGAGAGCAGAGGTAGAAGAAAGTCAGGGAACTGGGGAGTGGCTACTTATCAATCAGGACAGAGTATTCCTATGTTTTAGCCAGTACAACCAAATTAGTGTGTATGAGCTGACTATTCATATTAACTCTTAAGTAGCCACTTATACTAGTTTGTTATCTTTCCAGTATTTATGCAAATAGAAACACCAAAGATAATTTATGATGTACTCTCTTCTGTACCGTTTTTTCACTGTGAGAATATGTATGTGTATATAAAATTTGCCATTTTAGCCATGGCTAATTGTACCATTCAGTGGCATTATTTACATTAATAATGTCATGCAATAATTTCTCATTACCCTCAACACAAACTCCAGATCTGTTAAACAATAACCACCCTCCACCCTTTTTCTCCTCCCAGTCTCTGGTAACCTCTATGTACTTTCTGTGTCTATGAATTTGCTTATCTAGATAATTCATGTAAGTGGAATCATATTGTTTGTTCCTCTGTGTCCGGCATCTTACTTTGCTTTGGATTGGCATTTGGCTACTGAGGTTGAGCATCTTGTCATGTGCCTCTTGGCCATATAGGTGTCATCTTTGGAGCAATGAGTATTCAAAAACCTTTGCCTATTTTATAAGTTGGGTTATTTTGACTTTTGTTGACTTGCAAGAGTCATTTATATATTCTGGATATAAAACCCTTGCCTGATATATGAGTTGCAAAGATTTTCTCCCTTTCTGTGGGCTGCCTTTTCAGTCTCTTGGTAGTGCTCTTTGGTGCATAAAAGTTTTTAATTTTAATGAAGTCAGATTTGTCTATTTTTTCTTTTGTTGTCTATGCTTTTGGTGTCATATTTAAGAAACCATTGCCAAGTCTAAGGTCATGTAGATCTGTCCTTATGTTTTCTTTTAAGTTTTCTATGATCTTAGGTCTTAGGTTTTGGTTTTTAATCCATTTTGAGTTTTTTTTTAATTTATGGTGTGAAATAAGGATTCATTCTTTTGCTTGTGGGTATCAAGTTTTCCAGCACAATTACTAAAGAGACTGGTCTTCCCCATTAAATAGTCTTGGCACCCTTGTCAAAAATCAGCTCACCATAAATATGAGATTTTCTTTCTGGACACTAAGTTCTATCCCATTGATCTATATTTTTACCCTTATGTTTGTGCCACAATGTTTCATCATTTTGCTTTGTGGTTAGTATTGATGAGTGTGAAATCTTCAGCTCTGTTATTCTTTTTCAGGACTGTTTTGGCAGGATGCCTGGGTGGTTCAGTTGGTTAAGCGTCTGCCTTTGGCTCAGGTCATGATCCCAGGGTCCTGGGATCAAGTCCCGCATCCATCTGGGTCCTTGCTCAGTAGGGAGCCTGCCTTTCCCTCTGCCTGCTGCTTCTGTTTGTGGAGCTTGTACTCCTCTCTTGTCCTCCCCCCGCCTCCCCACCCCCAACAAATAAATAAATAAAACCTTAAAAAAAAAAAAGACGACTGTTTTGGCTATTCAGTGTCTCGAAGATTCCATATAAATTTTAGGATGGGGTTTTTCCATTTCTGTCATAAGCGTTATTAGAATTTTGAGAGGGATTACATTGAATCTGTAAACTGCTTTGATAGTATTGTCATCTTAACTCTGTTAAATCTTCCAGTCCATACACAAGATGTCTTTCCATTAATTTAGTTCTTTAATTTCTCTTAAGAAGTGTTTTATAGTTTTCATTGTGTAAGTTATGTGATTCCATTATTTAATTTATTCCTAAGTACTGCATTTTACTCCCTTATTTGCTATTGTAAATGAATTTTTTTCCAATCCAGTTTCACTTTGGATGTCCACTACTAGTGCATAAAAAAATAAATGACATTTGCATGTTGAATTTGTATCCTGAAAGTTTGCTTGAATTCACTTATCTGCTTTAACATGTTTTAATTGATTCTTTAAGGCTTCCTCGCTATGAGATTGTCTCCTATGAACAGAGAAAATTTTACTTCTTCTTTCTGAATTGGGTACCTTTCTTTTTCCCTTGTCTAATTCTCCTGGCTCTAATTTCCAGTACTATAATGAATAGAAGTGGAGAAAGCAGGCATGCTTGTCTTGTCCCAGGTCTTAGAGCAAGAGCTTTCAGTCTTTTACCATTGAGTATGATATTAGTTGCGAGTTTCTTATAAATGGACTTCTTATGTGGAGGGAGTTCCCTTCTAAATTGATCAAATGTCTTGCCATAAAAAAAATGTTGGATCTTGTCAAATGGTTTTGTTTTGTTTTGTTTCTGCATCTGTTGAGGTGATCATATGGTTTGATGTACTTTTTGACCTAGCCTAAAAACTCACCTTTGTTGCACTCATCCCATAACCTTAAAAC